CATGATTTCATTTTCAACGAAACCGAACATTGAATATATGTATTTACTTGCTATATAGAAATCAGGCGATCTGCCATCAATGCTCTCCATGCTTGACGCTCGGTCACACTACCGTGGTCGCGAAGTAGGACTGACAAGGAAGACAAGCCGGTAGTGACAAGATTAGCGGTCAGAACATCTTCCTTGGAAGAACTGAAAAAGGCGGTAAGAACACGTCAAGTTTAGAGCTTCCCTAAATCAATAAAGGTAGGGCAATTCATTGAGCGTCACGATTTTTTCCTCACTTGACTGAGTGAGGCATCCGCTAGGTTACGCGAACACCGTTGCTGTCCGTGATCAATAAGCGGCGGCAGTTGGCCTAGAAGACTGAGAATGAAGCTCGAACCAAAAAGAATACGGAATTTAAGATTTCGGACATTTTTATCGAACGTCAGCGCTCTTCTTTGTTTCTTTCTTTCTTTCTTTCTTTTTGATAGGGCATTCAATACCTTCAATTGAATGGAATGCTAATTTTTATCGCCATGAGCCTCTCTTTCATATTACAATCATACCCCAGAAATAATAGGGCATAACATTCACAAAAACAGGGCCTTAGCAGTTCGTCGGCGAAATTCCTTCGAGTGCACACAGGCTCAGTTTCAGACTTTAGCTAAAGATGTAATGATGCTTGCCATGGCGCCATTCCCATGTTTTCCCCATATTTTATCAGCGTGACTATTTACATGAATGATACGACTGTTATTACGACTGCGAATGTTACGACATCTATTGTACGTTTGGGGAAGTTATTGGTTATTTGTTGCAGTTTTCTTTATATATGGGTAATATTGCCCTGAACTTCACACTGGCATTACTTGTAGCAGGTGTATCTTTTCCATGAGATGCGATAATCGAGTAGGAAATGACGCGTAATTACAATAATAGAACTTCGACGTTAGTGGAAGTTTATTTATATAGGTTTTGAAAAAAAAAAAAAAAAAAAAAGTTAATCGAAAAGAACAAAAAACTGTTTGTGTATTGTTGAATTCATCGTAAGCTATCTTGCTGAAAAACGTATACCAACAACCAGAGCTTTCTAGTATCGTTATTGATCAAAGTAGTATAAACGGAAAGTTCTCGTCAGATATCTATTCGAGCTGAACAACAATAACAGTATTCTAATAACTGATATAGACTGTTGCTAAATATATCTGTGTACTACCTTATCGATAGCTTCAACATCGTCATATGTGTGGACGCCTTTCGGTCGTCCTGTTCGTTGGCGAATTGTTCCGATAAGGAGAAGCAGGCCAGTCCTAACTTAAAAATAGGAAGATGCATCTCGCCTATTCAATTGTGGAAAGCATCCATTAACATAACAGTACGTCGGCTATATATACGTTTGATTACGTAAAGCGTAAGTTCAACACTACGAGAGGCTAACTGCCTATCCCTGACGTAATGATCCGCTTCACTTGTATCGATTTAATATTTTTCATTCATACCCTATGCACTAATTGCTCGATTTAATTAAAACTAAAAAAATCAATATCCTCTTGCTAAGTATAAGAAACATGTACATGCAATACAAGATTTTGCAGCAGCTAAAGTACACGGGTCACAGCACCACGTATATATACATAATAATTTTTGCTACGGACCAATAGTCGGCACGAATAATTCTTGTATAGAAAATACGTGATGCTCACTCCTGCCTATTCTCTCTTGTTAAAGATTATAAATGAGACTTTTTCACAAATAAATAACGATAGCTAAAAATAAAAACTGTACCTTTATTTATATATATATTTTTGACGGTTTTCTTCGTGCCTGTGTGATTCTGGATGGACGCATAAAAAAGGCGTTGTATTTGCGGTTCGAACTTTCAAGATGTGTCATCGTGCCGCTATATAGGTGGCAGCTTTTTGTCACTGGCAAAAGCTGCTGATGGGGCTAAACTGTGTTCGGTTCGGGTTTCAGCGACGAAAACCAATATATACATCATCTCAAAATTCAACGTTGACACTGTAGTAGACCCTGATACGGCATTCCACATTAAAAAGCCGCTTGTGTGTTCTCCATCAAGGGGCAGTATTTGCGTAAACAATGTTTATATGAATTAGATCTGCGTGTGTAGTACTTTTGTACGTATCAAGGTCGAAGCCCAATGGCTGGACCAGCAACTACTTTATTAACCAATGTCCCTCCATGGGGGCCGTTTGTTTGATCGCAACCCAAGGTCTGATCGATCATAACCACAGTAATTTCAATGCTTGAGCAAATCATGCATATCATATTGCTATTCTGCGGCGTGCCCATTGCTAGAAATATTTCAAGGTACTATTAATAACAAATCGACCAATGGTAAACGATGTTTCAAACACTCTGTCATCCCCACTTCATCAGGAAAAAGAGATAATGCCAAATGCTGCTCATTAATGATTGAGCGGTAAAGGATTTTTCCATTTCGCAACAAAAACGCACTTCTACATTTTCGTCTTTCAACGTTTGCGTTCAATCAAGAGGGGGGTGGTGGTGCTGGCGGGGGTTTGTGGAGAAGCTATCGGGCAATCAGAACAGCCAGCGTTTAACGTTGTCATCGCGCTGGACTAGACCTAACCTAGGAGATTCGAACCTCCGCGTTAGTTGAATGATCGCTGTCCTGACGTAGCGAGCAGCCCGACAGAGCAAAAGTCGCACCTTGCCAGGGGCTGTGGCCCGCCGTCATTGTCGCCGCAATCGTCTGGCATTGGCTTCGGTATCACACCGTTAGCCAGGACGCCCTAAACTGTCGAGGGTCGAGGGAAGCCACCAGGGCATATGTACATCGTATAGCGTCGCTGACGCGATAATGAGGCACGAGTCAGAGCATTGCTACCATCGTCTGGGCCATTCCGGCCGCGCATCACATTGAGCAGCAGAATCAGTTGCTACGTTTGCAGAAGCACCAACAGGCTTAGTGTACAGCATGCGAAACGGATAAGCGGCAGCATTAAACCGCAATGGGACCTGTGGCTTCGCCGCGGTAGTGTGACTTAGTAATGATAACCTTTTCGTTGATTGGTGTGGCGTGGGTGATGGTGAACGTATGACTCAGTACTATCCAACCGACATGGCGTAGTACAACAAGCTCTTGCCATTGTCCTCCTTTGGCTAGCGAAGATTACCCCGAGATGAACATAAAACCAAATTGATTTTTGCAACAACGAAAAAACGAGGAGAAAATGGCGACGGCTGCCGTCGCAGTGATAACATTGATTATGAGCCATGATTCTATGGAAACTGCCGCACGACGCGTATTACATCTAACAAAAGCACCGAAAAGCGAATGAAAGGTGCCACGTGAAACATATCCTGTATAGCTGATTACCTCTGCACGCGTCATTGGACCAGTGTAAAGGGCAGGTGGGAAACAAACCGTCCCCGAGGGGTCGAATACACGAGAGTTTTTCTTAATCAGGTTTTATACGGCAACTAACAACATAGAGAGAAGTTGCTTACCTAACTTCAACCTGCTGTCGCAGCTGTCCATCGCAGATGAACCGGAGTTTCACATTATCGGGCAGAACTGACATGGGACGTCCGCCTCCACCTGCCACATTGTTATTAATAGCTATGCTGCGGTTGCCCGTGCTCGAACTGATGTTACTCAATTTTCATTGATGATGAACAAGCTTCGCATCGTAGCCATCTAATCCGAACACCTAAATCCTAATCGTGGTCGCTATCGTAGGCGATGATGGCTGCAGGAACGGTACCACGAATAGTTGAAATCTACCAGCTTCGCTTGTGTTACATTGAACAGCATCAAGAAGAAGGCGGCCTTGCGGATTTAGTTCAACAGCAGCATCAGATGTAACAGCAATCGCTGTCTTCACTGTCGCAGACGTCAGTTAACGACTGACAGATGTCAGCGCTCGTCCGTGATGTGTCGACGATGAGAATTATAGCCTTGCTACGAGGAGACAACAGCAGCAGCTGTTGCTGCTACAGCTGGAGCTGTCAAGCTGCTGCTAGCCACTGACTGCTAAAATTCTCAAAGCCTTAGCATTATATCTCATCAATGAATACAGATTGCCTGTGCCTAACCACGACATGCTGCGGGTTCTACGGAAAAGGCTACGCCCGTCCGTTGGCCCGCCTGTTAGTTCGTGAGTTATTTATATGTTAGTCTAGTAAAAAGGACCATTTTCATATTTTTCAGGTTCTTGGTCGCTGCACTTGGAATTGCCGTTGCTATAGTCAGCATCACGGGACATCCAAGCTCAGTCGATCCATGTCGCGACATGGGTTATTGGTCTTTTGGGAATTTATGGGCTTTTGTATCAGGAGTTCTAGCCCTCGTGTATTCAATATAAATATAACACCTATTTTTTATTTTATCTTCTATCTGCAAGGAATAACTGGCAATAAACTTATTAAAGTGGGAACTAATAAACATCACCAGATAGGGAGATAAGAATCGAGCAATTAATTCCGAGATAACCCCGTACGGTTTGTCGATAACCCTGGCATACTTTTTGCGCGTGCAGAAAATGTACTTACAGAACAATGCAATTCAGTCTATATGAACAAGACCCTAACTGAGCTGAACGCGTGATTAGCTACTTGTCAATGAGATCGTGACTGTAAAAAGCTAAGTGCTTTTGAAGATTACGTTGTCTGGCTTGTTCTTCCTCCAAGCCTTCGTCTATGCGATAGCTAGCACGATTCAAGGACAAAAAACATGATTTAATCAAACTTCCTCTGTGTAGTTGTACTTGGGTTAAATCTCATGTTATAACTGCCCTTCCGTGGTGTCATCTGTAGTGCTTGAAAACTATTTACGAAAATAGGAGTCAAAAAATGGAACCTGTTTTTTTTTATAACATTAAAATACCGAGAGCGGTAACGAGGACGAGACAGCAAAAGCTTTACCCATTGAACATTAAACTTCAATAACATTATTGAGGTGCTCGCTTTGTATGTTTGTCTATTTTGTTATTGTATCCCTCTATACTAGATATGCTTATCAAATACTATCAAACGCATTCTCCGTTTCCATTATTATTATTATTCTCTCGGGTATTTCCATATTACAACAGCTTCGAAAGATTAATTTCAAAATAAGTTTATTCGATTACCTTACTCTTGGAAGTTTAAATCCGCAGAAGTATCTAGAAACCGACCACAGATATTATATGCGAATGATTTCCCCTAACCAACGTATAATTGTTCATCTGGAGACCTTTTCTATAGCCAATTATTTCTTCACGAGTCGATAAATCATTTCAATAGCTATAACGTCCAATTGGATCGGGGCGCATGGACCAATTGTGCTTAGCGCTTTGTGTTCGCTCACAGTTTTTCTCCATTGTCTTCGTACTAGTTCATCATCTTTCTCATCCACTCCGTTTTGGCGATCTTGTCTGCCTCGCATCCTTCTTCACTCTGCTGTTTGTCTTGCAGAAGCTGATTTTTCGAAGGTGAAATCGGCGTTCATCGTTGCCACCGCTTCCGTCGCTCCTGCTAATGATGATCATCAGATCGGAGTGAATGCCATCCGGTCCAGTTCAGTGTCAGATGAACAGATCTACGAAGAGACACAACGTCATACGGCAACAGTGTTGAAGCAGTCGAAGACAAAACAGTTTGCATTATTACGGTATGATGCTGGTAACTATGCTGGGCACCGGTGCAGACTCGAGGCGGCGTATTGCCCCGGCCTAATCGAAATCTGCTTCCAAATTTTGATGGCCACACAGCGACGGTTGTTGACTGCTGCTTCAGCTGCAGCCGTTGCCCTTTGCAGCAGTGGGACCACCGTGGCAGTAGCAGCAAGCGAAGAACGGCTGTGTGTCATTGTCCCTCCTATGATGTGTGCATGTGCTCATGCCTGCCGTTGTCGTTGTCGTGTGTGTTTATGTGTCCGGCTGTGTGTTCTCACTCGCTCAGTCGTAAGTGACACGTCAGCTCCAATGTGAGCCGGGCGAATGGCATCAGGGGCAAAAAAAGAAGAAGAAGAAATTGAGAACGCCGCCGCTGCCAAGAAGGCAAGGCAAAGCGAAAGGAGGCAAAAGCAACGCACCAGCGTTGGTGGTGGCCGCGGCGGCAGGGGCGAAGGGGCAACGTAACGGGACCTACACGCGCAGCAGCAGGGGCCCCCGGGGCCGTTGTCGGAGCTGAAACCAACAGCGGATGGTGGCAGTTGCCGAGCGAAGCTGAGGGCCCCCGAAGCAACCGTGAGGGTGAACGGTTAGCGCGCAGCGCTCTCGCCAGGGCAGGCGCGCCACGTTCACTTCCGCCCGGGCGTCCGCCGCAGCCGCTGCTCTGACGTCGCCGCCGCCGCCGCCCGTAAGCCCCGACGTCCCGCGCTGGCGAACAGCACAGCGCCCGGCAGAGGAACAACAAGCGAACGAACGAAAAACTGAACGACTAGCGAACCAATCAACGACTCAAGCTACTACGTCCATTATCAACACGGTCACTATTAGCGAACGCTCCAATCCATCTAAAAGGCAACGAACTACTGCTGGTGCTGCTGTGAAATTGCAGTCCCCGGGCCACTATCTTGCGTTTGTCATAGGCTAACAATACACTGTTGGCCATTCAGTTAGACGTCTGGACCACTGGAAGAATACACCAAAAAAAAGATTTTCTAGTGCCAGGTTTTTGAGAAGCGTCTTCTACCATATTTAATCTGCAAGCGGTTGTTGCTGTTCGTGTTGCTTGTGTGATGTGCCGAGGATACTGAAACCGTCGGATTGTTTGCCGGGCAGGCAAACACCTGCAGAGATACGGTCATCGGAGGTGTGGCAATGTTCTCTGAGCGTGAAGTAGTTGAAGTGCATGTTTTGGTCGATCAGACATCAGAAAAAAAGGAATAGTGGTGCCAATCTGGAGTGAGGAAAATAGTAAAAAAAAAAAAAAAGGAAAAGCAAAGACACAAAGAGTATACTAGTCAATGCTGGTCTCGCGCGCCTCAGACCTGAGGCCGTCGCTTAGAACCTTTCCTTTTCCCTAAGGTCCGTTATTTCTCTACGTTACCCCTCGTATCCCATAAATATCGTGGTAACCTCTGGATGTTTCTCATTTTTACGGATGTAAGTAACAACGAATAGATATTTCGGCGGTTGCGAGGCAGAACATCAGTAACAGGGGTGCACGGCCAACGTTTCCAGCACCACTTGAATACGTTACATACAGTGAGATGATCAACGATTTCACAAAGGGCTACCCAGTCTGTTCTCCTACTGTAGTTCGACCTGCAACATTTGTGCCGTTACCGACTAGTGTAATCTGTGCATAATAACTCAAATGTTTACCAAGTGCCATATACATCGTGATTAGCTTAGGCTTGACGGAATTGAGCAGTGCAGCGCAAGCCAAGCCCGGCAATTGGATATCTCTTGGTTTTCCTGGTGTTGGATCAACGCTATCATCATCATCGTCTGTCGAATCGCGCACTCAATCGCTCATTCCGATCAGCTGGAGCGGTACCCAGCCCTCCACTTGAAGTGCCACTCTTTCTTCCGTGTTACCAGCTAGTTTAGCCACCTGCCAGTTGTCTAGCTACTCATTATCATTTCTACAATCATTGATTTAAACGTCTCTTTGCTCAAAGGGGTGTATCAGTGAAGCTCGCATATGACCGCTCGGTACAGCCAGCAACGGCTATGACTCTGGCCGGGGGCTTTTTGACCTCCCTGGCGTCAATGCCTGTACGCCTGCTGCCGCTCCCGTTGGTATCCCGAACGTACCCCGACCCCCTGGGTAGCGGCCCGGGCCTGGGAGGGTCCCGGTACAACAGGGCGACCATGAGAAATGGGCCCCTGCAATCGGGCCTTGTCGGTCTCGGGGTTCTGGCGTTCGCGGTTGGCCAGACTTCGGCACAACTGGCAGTCGACACGGTACCCGAGCTTGGCCTTTCAAGCCGATTCTCCGGTGGCTGGTGGCTAAGTGGTTCACGGACTTTGTGGCTTCTTACGCTCGTGTTATCGTGCATCATACCCCTCGCATTAGCCTTAATGCGTCGGAGACGGATAGCAGAGCTAATTATGAAAATACCTGGACCGCACGTCACGCACCCAGTGCTCGGAAACCTCGACGTGCTCTTCGAGCTGAACAAGTATCGCCATCTGTTATCGCCTCACATCTGTAAGTTATCATTAAGACGAACTTCTTCTCATAGATCGTTTCAACTTGCATGCTGCTGTTGCAGTGTGTTGTTTTACACACTGGTGCCACTTTCTCAAGAGTCAAAGACGTACAACTTGGTATATACAGACTGCACAGCTTTTTTAGGTTCTCAAACATGAGTGCTGTGATAGCAAACCTCAATAGATAATATGCTATGATAATGCTAGATTCTGCTTTATTCAGTCCGTTACAATAGTACCATTCTTCAAAATGATTATACAGACAGCGGTAATAATATCCCGTGCTAATGCAGATGGTAGGTGGCGCTTGTCTCGTTTGCCCCGGCAGCAAACCATCGTCCACACTAGGCGCTGTAGTGCCTGGGGCTATCGAACAAGCAGTTCGTTGTCTGCGGTTAACGGCGTTTGGTGCAAAAGAACTGGCTGAATAGCTTATTTATCGCTAGAAACCGCCAATATAAAGCTCACGTAATGTCAATGTATCGGCGTTCATCATAGTGCCACTCTGCCTTATGAACGTAAACGATCTTGGTCTAAGGACATCCACCAGCTCCAATGTCATCAATATCCCGTAACTGCTGGGTTCACTTGAAACAAGCTGGGTAAAAAAATCGAGTGGGGTGTGTAAGCTGTCGCGTTAAACTAATTTCAGACTCATCCTCTACTTACTCTTCTTTAGTTTATGGTCTGCCCCAAACAAATAAGGCTAACGTTCTACCTGTTGGAAACGGTGACTCCACAATGGTCCGTCACTTCGCTGAACTATTAAATTCCATCTGTGGACGGTATTGTTCGATGCGGGGTAATTAAAAAGTTTTCAACACTATTTCGAATGACGTTCCGTGTCTTGCTGCAAACAGATTAATCTCAAAGTGATCGTCTTCTATTATTAGATTAGAAGTTTCTTTTCCAAGAAATACAGTAATTCTTTGTCGAAATGCATTATAACCTTGCTTAACTTCAAGCTTGAGAGGATTATAATTTTCAATATATTCAAGGTCAAAGCAGACGTTCAAAAGAGTGATCCTTATTCGATAACACTTGTTCATAGGTTTACGGTAACTGTATATATATATACATACGTTTGTATATATCTGCGCGGTTAAGTGATTAGCGTGTAATGAAACATTTCGTACTTAGTTATCGGGCGGCAGTAGGGTGCAAACGCAACTAGCGCCACTGGATAGGCATTTTTCCGTGACCACCAAGGTAACTGTGCTGTCTGTTGCCGTTGCTTCTATTGCTGCCCACTACTATTCTAATGGCGCTGTTCGTTGATGCCGCTCATGACGGTGGCATCGATGGTGGCGCCGTCACTGTGCACTGGCTCGTAACAACGTGAAGCTCTTTGTCTAGAGATATATTTATACATATAAATGTTCCAGACAATAACATCATGTTTCCCCTTATTCCCTAGCACTGCAGCGTCCTATCGTCGTCGCTATTAGAACTTCTTCTTCTTCTTTAGTTCCACCATTTCATTTCATTCCACTGAACGACGACGAACGAGAAAAACAACACTCGCAATAGCACTTGTAGCCGCAGTAGTAGAAGCAGTATATTCAGTCGTTATTGTGCTACTGGTATATATATAGGCTGTAGTAGTAGTGTACTTCCGCTTATGGTCCTACTGATAGCTGGTACCACCGCTGCCGCTGACGATGGCGCTGCCGTCTTTCCAGTAGCCGTTGGAGCTATTGCAGACAATTAGCTGTTCAGTTCAGTCACGAGTCAACGATTGGGTAGTCTATGACGTCGTCGCCGTTGTCACCGTAGCAGTAATAACAGCAGTCAGAAGCAATATACGCGGATACACGATGGTTGCCGGCAACCGCAGTCACAGCAACCTCAGCTGCCATGGCGGCGGCCGCCGCCGCGACGACAACAGCAGGAAACGATGATGCTGGTGATTTTGCTGCGACGGTTGGCGTTGACGCTGTGTGTAATTGTGGGTGCAGGGTTATTCCTATGGCCATTGTCACCCCCTGCCCGTCATGCGCGCGGCCTGATAACAACAACAACTGCAGCTTCTTGTTATTGTTATTTTGCTGCTTCTGCCATTTCAGCTTTTATTAGTAGAATCGTCATGACCATGTTTGTCACTAATACCGCTAGTACCATCTGTTGCTGGCCGAATTATTGCGCTAGTATCTGTCAGCAGCTCGGAGTTACTTCAACGATGACGTCGTCATCTTGCGACCACTTTGTAACATCAATCAAAAAAATTTAGCCGCTTTGATAAATCATGATAAAAACCATATTAACGGTTATAGTAACAATGTGATGACAACACTGGGCTGAAATGAGGTAAATAAAAAAAAAGAAAGAAAGACAAAGTTCTCCGAGGGGAATTCCTGAACGGATAAAAATCGATTCATTCCGATTACTCTGTTTCGCATAGCTGACATAATATGTAATCTCCCGTCTCCAATCATTTCTTAGCGGTGATAACAGTGTCCGCTCGTACGACTAGGTCGCATGAAAATATAGGATCCTAAAGTTTACTCTAGGCCCCGGTTTTTTCGAACAGTGTTTAACAACGTTCGATGTTCGATGCGTAAAATGGAAGGAATGCGACGTACGTATACGTAATAGTTAAGTTCCGTGCATGCAAAGCTGAGATAGATATCTCAGCCTGCAATGTGCTTCAGTTAAAATGAAAGGACCAAAGATAGGTCGTCCTACCAACAGTTATCCTTTGTCGTCTGTTTACTTGACCAATGAGAGAATCACAATCTTCCAGTGTGATGTTATAGTATATATAATGATGATGATAATAATAGATCAAGGACGACTGGTCGCCACCTATAAAGTTTATCGGCCGTGTTTTTCTCCAGACTGGGTCAGTAAATTCGTTGCCTGATATGGTTAGGTCAAAATCGGTTAGCTGCGCCACATTGCGGCATCATATAATCGAGATTCAATACAATTCAATGAGACTACCGATTGTAGAAGGTTTCCCTGATAGTACAGTGGCTGATGTTAACTATTTAAGTTTACTACAAAAGAATCTGTTTTACTACGCGTTCGGGAATTCGTTTTAGGGAAGGTTTTTAATTGCTTAACAGAATGGAAAACCTGCACAGTACGGTCGCGAAGTATTCGGATATATCCTGTATTCCTCTTGCACACAGATAAGTCGAACTAATGGGCTCCATGGAATGCCCGCCAGTTCCCCTGAGTTGACACCAATGGATTTTTTCTTCATCTCAAAAATGAAATAGTCAGAAAAGCGAAAAGAAAAAAAAAAAGACATTTTTTTTTGAAGTTTATGAATCTTTTCTCCGTTATGAGTCTACCGTTATGAGCAATATATTGACTCGAATGGCAATTTTGAGTATCCGCGGCGGAAGGGAAAACCTTGTAGATTTTAGCCATATTCTTTTTCAATTTAAATATTAATTATATGTAAACAAAGATCGAAGTTATAGTCGTTCAAAACAGGAACATCATATATTATAGAATATTAGTACAAACACACATGTTTAACAGTCGTAGATACTAAGAGATCAGGGTTCTACGAAACTAGAATTTATCAGGGTTACACAAGACCTATCAAACGAAGTTTTGTCTGGACTGTTGGACCCAAGCCTTCTACTCTACTCCTCAATTAGATTTTGTTTTATGCTTTATAATAGTAACGAAGGATCAGCAAACAGTGAATTATATTCAATGAAAAGGGCAAACCGGCCTACGGTCGATTGATTAGACAGGCCAAACCAGACCGCGGCCTATTCATGCCTTATGCAGCAATGTACTTTCTTTTTGAAATTCGCCATGCAGCTGACCCTGTCCACTATAACTGGCAAGAAAAGAAAGTAAAGAAAAGAAAAGAAAGGAAAAAAGCCAGCCCAAGTGAAATATCCACCATAGATATTGATTATTATTATATGACATTAGTTACGTCTGCTGCAGCTTTCGACTGAGTAGTAGAGGCTCAGGACTGCCTACATTACCGAGTAGTTTATGAATAGTAAAACCAGAGCTACGGGTGCTTTACTTCAGCTCACATCCTGCTGGTGTTGACTGTGCACCGATTGCTTTGGGTTCAAAATCAAAGCCAGGTTCGCCAACTAAAAGCCTTAAATTAATGAAATAATGCTCGCGTGACAATTTAATGTAAGGACGATCGCCATATACACTAAATGGTGTTATAGCAAACACTATATACAACAAGAACAAACGGTATTATAACAAAATTTGCGGTTCTTCCAGATCAAACATGCCCACTGAGTTGACCGGAAATTCATTTGCAGAAAGTGATGGTGTACTTAAGCTTGAAGGATATACGGTAGTCTGGGTGCGATGCTAAGCCTTGATCCATTTCGTGTTATACCGTAAGTCAGCACGTTTGGAAGATTGTCTAACTGGAAACGTTTAGCTTCTGTAGACAAACGCGCTATCATCGCGGGGACTCCTGACATAAAGCTAAAGTAATGAAAAAGCCTGATTTCTTGTCAAGGTCTAATCCAAACACAGCATATGGAAAATTTTCGGAGAGTACAAGATTGAGTCAGCTGAAAAAAGAAGAACTTCCCGTAAAAATGTACTACACAGAGTAGCAAAAGAACTATGTTACTCGACGATCATGCAGATAGTTTATTATGGAAAAGATGGACTCATCCTATCAAACATATTATCGAGTGAAATAGAGATCAGAAACGTTGTTGGCGAAAGAACCACGATATAAAAGCCTGCTTGTAAAAACATGCACATCTTCCTATCTTGGATCGCTGACTATTGGACAGATGTCAGCAGCATCTATCTAGTGCAAATATCCTGGGCACCTAGTTTTTGCTCCGGGTAACTCGTGTTTTAACTGGCAGATATTATACAGGCGCGAATAATAGGACCAAATAAAATTTGTACACAATTCGTAATAAAAAAAAAAACAATGATAACAATATTGGATAATAGTCAACGAAATTACAGTTTACAGCTAGGTTTAAGTAACTGAATTAAAAATTTTCACGTGCGCGTGAGATCGTTTCCACTGAA